AGTGGCATCACTACTCAGTAACGAAAAAAAAAAAAAAAGGGGCATCAAACTGGGCACAAACAACAACAAAAAAAAAAGAAAGAAAGCTCAGTTAATCCTTTTGGAGAGTTCCACTTCCAACAGGTCTAATCGTCGCCTGATCCGGCGTGTTCTCGAGAGAAAGAACTTTATTTTGTAAATGTAAACTCTTCTGTTCCAGTAATTCTGTATGATTTCATTTTGGTTATAGAAGCCCCGCTGTGAAGAGGAGAGGAATGAGAAGTCGAAATGGAGGAGCAGTGAAAAAGGGGGGGCTAACACTACATTACATTGGTGTAAAGTTACCAAAATGAACACCTCAGTTGAGGTCCCCAAAGGGAAGAATACCACGTAAGACGCTATTCCCGCGCGCTGGGAATCACACGGATTTGTTGCTTTTTCGGTTTTGTTTTTTCTCCCCCATTTTTGCGGGGGCCCTTCAAATTTACCTTAAAAATCTGGGAAAACTTCGTGCTGAGGCAGCTGGGACAGATCCACTTACGATCCAGCTTCCTCTCCTCTGCTGGGTCTTTCGAGCTTAAGCAGTAGGAATGCCATCCGTGAGTGCAACCAAAAAAATCACACATGATTAATTCCCCTCCATTGACGCACTTATAGCACAAAAGGTCGTGTTTGTAAAATATCAAGTGGTATATGTAGTCGCACAACAGCTGAATGATCACACTCGAGTCAATAAAATCGTGGTGAGTATCATATTTTGTTTCTTTTATTATATATTTCAAAAGGTAACAAAAAAAAAAAAGAAATCCTGTACAGTTTAACTTAATTTTTTGATATTTATTTATGTGGGTGATATTTTCCTCTATACTTTTGTCTGATGTGAACTTTTGACTTAAGAAATATTTCAAGTATATGTTCACTTCGCTTATTTTCCTATTCTGAGCATACATGTGATTTATTTTCTCTTTTCTCATTGTAGCTAGCTGTTTGTGTGCATCTTCTTTTTCTCTTTTTTTTTCTGAACTGTTCATATTTTTTTCGTCTATTTCATGTCCTTGGGTCATTTTTTCTTCTTTCTGGCATAAACCGTTCAGCCTGTCCGGACCAATTGGTGTGCCCCCCCCAGTGTAAGGCGATATGGCGTGGGGGAAAATCTCATCATTTGCTCCACCAATTGGTGGTTTATAGTTACAGGACGTCCAGCTGCTTGTCTGTTCGGGAGAAATACAACTTTTTACACTTTCCCACTTCTTTTCTTCACTCATTTGTGCATTTCGATGATCAGTTATTTTTTCTTTTAAAAAGGGGAAGGCCAAATCAGCACTTGGCAAATTGCTCCATTCGAAATGGTCCATAAGTACATCCTTCGCCGCTTCAATTTTAGCAAATAGTTCCCTCTGGATAAAATGTCTAAAGTGGTGATACTTGGTCAACACGGATGATAAATATCGAGAGAGCATAAATTTCGATTTCAAAAAAACAGGCGATATGATTTTTTCCTTTATCGAATTTAATTCAGTTTGGTTGTAATTGTGGAAAATCACGTCGTTCATTTTGATTATGTATTTGTCCACGTATAAGCTGAACTCGTCGTAGTTACTCAGAAAAGTGCTGTGTTCGCTCCTTCCGTGTGTGTATAGCAGATGTGCGTGGGGGAGGCGTGAACTAGTTAAGTGATTTCCTGGAGTGAAATTGGCTTCCCAGGAGACTAGCCATTTTAGGGGTAAATCCTTTGGTATGTTGACTCCCACCGATGGGAGCGATTTGCGGGTTAACTCGTCGGCGAAGCCGCCCTCCCCTGGTGGGGAAGAATCCATTTTTTTCTGAAGAATATCTGTATCGGTTTGCTCTAGAGCTATGCCACCCTCCTCTGCGGTACTATGCTTCTCCGTCGCACTTTCTCCCCTTTGCTTCTCATCATCCGATGTGCAAATAGCGTCACCCTTGAGATGGTCGAAAAATTTATGAACTTCGTTTAGCGAGTAGGACAAGAAGTCATGTTCCTCCTTGAGGAGAGACAAAGGAATGTTAGAAATGTTCGCCACGTCGTCGTCCTCCGAAGAACTTTCATAATCAGTGAGCGCTTCATCACTTCCATCCGTTATGTAAAATCCAAGTAAGTTATCTCTTATCTTGGGCAAAGGTATGTTGATAAAGGGGCAGGTATCTTTTGGGAAGAAAAAAACATCCGTATTGTAGCACTTGGTATGGCTACTTCTTAACTTCAATCCAATATGTGCAATATCTTCAGCTGCCCGTATGCCTGTGTCGTAAGCTCCATCTACACACTGGAAATAGCTTTTAGATAAGTACTCCCCACAGAAGACAACCTTGGGATTATCAATCGGGTGCGGAGCTCTCAAGTAAATTAAATCATTATCAGTACAGTTAACATACGGATAGGCATACGAACCAAAGGAAAAATTATCATCCTGCCATTTGGTAATTAAATAATCAACCAGCATGGGTAGCTTCTTTCCAGTATTTTCGAACATCTTATGCAAAGTGTGCAAACATTCGTTTACTATGAAGTGTTCCTTTTTAATATAGCCATAGGTGCATGACCAAGGGGGGAAACAGTGCACTAAAATGCAGCCAATTTTTCCATAGGCATGCAGATTGAGGAACTGAAACTTCTGATCAATACAGTTTAGCTGTAAGCTATCAAATGGCCACGAAAAATCGAATGGATAAAATCGTAAAATTATTTTGTTGTGATTCCCCATTCGGTAGTTATTCAATGCTTTAATTTTGAGTGAGTGTAACTGGGGTTCAAACTGGAGATACGATTTTTTCTTTTTTTTCTTCCTATCATTATTTGTTAAGCATCCAAGGGGTAAAGCTACAATGACATACTTGGCAAAGATGTTCACATTGGCATAGTTGCAATTGGTGAGATCCGACGTGCCATGGAAATGTTTGTTGATTTGTTTCTTCGACGTGTCGTAGCTTTTGCACTGCACCATCACGTTGTAATTTTCTTTGTTTTCCCCTGGATGACAGCAATTTCGCAGCAGTTCGAAATCTTGGTGGGTCTCACCCCCTCTGATGGTTTCGTGACTCCTTTTGAAGTGCGCAGTGGGCAATGTATGGTTGGAAAAGTGCATTCCCTTCTTCCCCTCCTGGGCTGCACCCTCAGAATGGGCATCACCATATAGGTAGTTCCCAGAGGAGTCCCTTACACATTGCGGTGCGTTTCTTGTAGACGTCGCAGCCTCGGGAACCCCACCTGGAGGGAACTTCCCCGGTGTGTTAATGAAGAGATTATCACCCTCCTGATCAGCAGGATGATTTACAAATTTGGAGTGGCTACCCCAAAATGTACGTTCCTCCTTTATGTGAACGACCTCGGCGACTGTGTTGAGAAGAATTCTATTCTGTATATCTTCAGACAAAAAATTGATGAGCCACTTCCACCCATCCAGGACAAGCTGATCGGCACTAGTTGTATCTTTAAAACTGGTCACATGAGGCATCTGCTCACATTTTCTAATCTTATCGTAATATTTTAAATTTTTTGAAATATGCTCATCGGTGCCATACTTTGGACATACGTCAATATCCATGTAGCTGGAAGATGGAAGTCTACACATCGTTATGGATGTCTCCCTTAAATCACTTCCATAGCCATACCTCGACTGTAACATAACCATCAATATTTTCCACTCCTCGAGGGAGAAGTTGTCCTGGTGTATGTCCATTTCGTTAAGTATCTCTTCTGTGCATTCGATTAATAGATCCCACATGCTTCTCCTTTGGCTGTCTTCCTTAAAGAGAACTGTTTTGTTTATGTCTTTTTTAGGGGAGTGCACCAATGCTTCAGTTCGCTTCCTAACAATTCGATAGTACTCCTCTCCGTAGTCATAGTAGTTTTCATAAATGACTGCATCTTTGTCGTAGTTCAGCATTCCATCTGTCGTGCACGTGATTTTCTTCTTCGATTGGGAGTCTCCCGTGACCTTGATTCGCTTCACCCTTTGTTCCTGCGCGGGGGGAGTACTGAGAGGGTGCTTCTTGATGCTCGTTTCTGGGGTATTCTGTTTCGCCACAGTGTACGGTTCACACGATTGCTGCAGTTGTGGTAGCTTCTTCTTCCCGTCTGCTTCATCCCCATCGTGCGTGCCTTTTGGACCCTGCACGGAGACCAAGTGATACTCTTTGTCCTTTCCAAAATGATGGGATCCTCCCCCTGGGAGGTTCACAAAGGAGGGATAATTATCGACAGTGATATCTCCCCCATTATGATTTACGAAGAGGGATGTTTTAATCTTCCTGGCAGCCCTAACCCTAATTTTATCACACAGTAAATTCATCCTATATATTTTAAAGCTCTTAATTTTTTTTCCATTTTCGTTATTGTACCAATAAGCGTAGAAGGTGGATTCCCAGTTGTCCTTTCCACAGACCAAAGAGATTTTCGGTTTCAATTTGGTAGCCAGTTGAGTAACGGACTTATCGTAGGCTCTCCTCCTTCTTGTATCTTTATTGACGGAGAGTATTTTTAATTTTTTATTTTCACTTTTGCAGAAGCTTTGTGGCCCATTAACGAATGGACGTTGTGTGTCTCCACGGGGGGACGAGGAGAAGAAGAAGGGGGAGGAAGAAGAAGAAGAACACCCATCACTACTGACGCAGCTGTCACTCAGGTATGTATGCAGACATATATTTTCATCCATGTCTTTTAAGAAGCTTAATAAATCCTTTTCCGTTTTTTTCCATCCCCTCTGTTTGTATATGTAGCTGTACAGGTGGCAGATATTATCAATGTTGTACTTGACCATGAAGAGGATATTTTTTCTGATTTTTTCTTTCTCTTCCTTTTTGTGTTTCCTCGCTTGGAAATAGTTGCCGTCGCTGTATGAGTGCTGCACATCGTTGTCCTCGCCTTGGCGGTGGCCGCCTATCCACGCGACCCGGTTTCCACTTTGTTGGGGGGAGTACCTCTCCCCTATGTGATCTCTGCTTTGCTGGTTTGCCCTCCCGTGCAGGGGAATCTTCCCAAAATTTGCTATCAACTGGGAATACTGCTGCTTGAACAAGTCGACATTATTTGATAATCGTTTCTCCATTTTGTCTATCTCACTGGGGGACACAAAATCGGACTGCTCCTTTTTCTCATCAGGTGGAACTTTAAATTTCATCCTTTTGTTACTTCTCTTATAATATTTTTTTTTTCTTCCTTTTTTACTCTTCCTGTCGTTGCCTTTATCGGTATCCATGGAGAGCCCCGACTCTATGGACAGTGTCTCCTCCTTTGTGAAGTTATTCCCTTCCTGTGTTGTACCCCCCTGATCTGAATTCACATTACTCTGCCTTGGTACATCTGCATTGTCGCAACAGTGCAGATAATTGGCACCTAAATCAACCATCGTCTCGGGGAGCAAGTTGTTATTTATTACTCTCTGGGGAAGAATCGTGGAGTAGGCTCTTCCTCCAATTCGATTCCTTCCTTCGATGACTAATATATCTGCACTGCATTTGTTTAAGTAGTAGGAGGCAGCCAGCCCGGAGATCCCTGAACCGATGATCAGGACATCCACAAATAAATTCTGCTCGTTACGTAAAATTGGGTAACCGTCTACCCCTCGCTTGATTATGTCCACAGGTTTGACCTGACCAAACAGGGAGATTTTTTTCCTTTCTTTGTTCTTAGCGCGACGACCGTGGGATTTACGATCGTCACCATCGTCGCCATCGCGGCCATCATCATTGTCCCGATCACCACCATCACCACCGTCCACATTCTTCTTGGTGCAGCTCTTCGCGGCATGCTTGCTCGAAACGACCGCACTCGCCTTCTTCTCATCAGCTATCACATTGTTAGGAATCGGTATGACGCTTCCTCCTTGAGATCTGCCGCAGGAGTGGTCCTTTTCTCTTTCGTAATCCTGTTGAGAAGAGAAATCTCCCAACAGTGAGGCGTCCCCCTCCGCTGCTCCGTCCCCTACTATATCCGCTGCCCTCTCCACTGCTTCCTCCACATGGACGCTGCTCACTACTTCACCCTTCTCTTGCAGCTGGCCAGATTCAGGAGAACCACTTTCCCCCTTCTCGATATATTTCTTTTCACCGATTGTATCAGCTGGACCGCTCGGTTTCTCCTCCAGCCGTGCACCGTGTGAGGCAACACCATTGGGGGATGCGAAGTCTGATGGGGAGGTGATTAGGGAAGGCGTCTCAAAGTAGGAGCTTCTCGGGGGGGGGATACTCGCTGAGGAGAGTTTCACTGAGGGGGCCTTTACAGATGCATCTCGCAAAGAGCTGGCTTTCAAACTGATGTGTAGCGAATCCGTGCCCAACGACACGGTGTCCATGGGTGCGATGTGTTTTAAAGCCTTCTTGAGCGAGGCAGATTTTTCCGTCACCTTATGCTGTATGCCCTTATCATTGGACAGCTCCTGGCGGGTAGCCTTATGGTCCGAGTGCTCCCCCAAGGTTGCCGCACGGGCCATATGCATGCCCAAAACAGGAGTGTCACTGCTAGGTGTACCTCGAAGAGGTTCACCATACAGCCATTTGCCCTGGACAGCTGCATCACCTATCGATTTACTCTGGACAGCCGCATCATGCAGGGGCTTCTCCCGAGCAGGTGTGTGATAGTTAAGAAAACCACCAACAGGAGAATAACGCAACGAATTCCCCTTGACAATTGCGTGACGCATCTGCCTTCCTTTGATGGTCCCATCCCGCAGAAGCTTCCCCTTGAGGGCCCCGCCCCCTCCAGGGGTCACCCTAGCGGAGGCATCTCGAATGCCTTCCTCCTCGTCAATCATGTCCTGGACACATTCGCCTTGAGTAATCATCTTATTGCTCATCTTATTCTGGGCACCATCAGTGTCCTCCCCTTCCTTCTTCCGCTCCGTCTGTTTTGGCCCCTTCTGCTCGTCCCTCTTCTGCGCCTCATAAAGAGCCAATATGTCCTGCCCCCATAGGTCATACTGCCAAGGAATATACCCCCTCACCATACTTTTGAAGCATTGGTGCATCCACAAATGAGCCTTCCTACTTCTTCTCACGAATGCTTCTTCTCTCCTCTTAGAAATATCATAATAGTTCTGTTTAGCTCTCTTATGTTTCATTTTAAGTTTCTCAATTATTTGTTTCCTCCTGTTAATCCTGCTGAGCATTTTTGCTTCCATCGTCCTTCTATCTTGTTGCATTTTCTTCTGTTCATTGTCGATCTCTTTAGAAATTTCTTCTTTCCTAGCTTCAACTTCTTTTCCAGTATCACTGGAGTAGTAACTTTTCTCATCCTTATCCTTCTCTACCCCCCTTTCCAGCATCATCGCCGCTTTTTCTCTCATACTTTGGAGGTGATCTCTCCTTGTAAATTTCGTTACGTTTACCCCTACATTCATCCACAGGTCTGACCACTGATCGATCTGTATCCGTTCCCTCTGCAAATTGTTCCTGTGTAAATAAAATTCTGTTCCTTGTTCTTGTGTCTTCTCGTGTTCAGCAGTGACCTCTCTGCATTTGGTTTGTTCCCTCGAAATAGACATCCCCCCATGAATCGCTCCTTCACCGCTCGTTTGTTTCTGCATATGAGGAGCACCCCATTTGTTCATACTTGTGTTGTAACTCATTGCTGACGTTATTACTGTGCGTCCCACTACGACTCTGTTACCGTTGCTGTGTCTTCGCTCCCAGGGATGGTTTATACTCCCCATTTTTTTCCTTTTTCTCCCATTTACTTCATCATATAAATGGGTCTCCTTCTCCTTTCTTATGTTTTCCCATGGGTGGTATTCCTTCCCTTTGGTTTTTCCGTTTTCCCACAAGGTTTGGGACGGGCTCTGGGGGTGCCTCATTTCTTGGGGTTCCTCAGTCTCCTTTTTCTCTCCTTCCTTCCTCGCTTGGCGTCTGTTCCTTTGGTATTTTCTTCGCCCCCACGCTACTTCGTCCGGAGGAGTCATCTCTTTACCGTCTTTTTGCATCTCCCTCTCTTCGTCGTCACCATTTTTCCACTGCCTCCTTCTCCGCACTTGCTGATGCCACCTCAGAACTTGTCGCCGACGAATCACTTGAAGTCGCTCATACCTCTGAAGCAGATCCATCTCCACTCTCGACTCCTTTCGTATACTCGCCATGGCTCCCAGTTCCCTGCGTGCTCATGAGGGATCAGACCCCTTCACCATACACACGGCAATGCAATGACCTTTGGGTTTTAACAACACACCGCTGTGCCTCCTTAATATGGATAAAAAGATGTCTCTTCTGCAATGAGAAAAAAAAAAAAAAAAAAAAAAGACGAACAACAAAAGTCCGCAAGACATAGTCGTCATAAAGAAAAACTCGCTAATTGTTTCACTTCAAAAAGGTGGAGACTTTACGAAAAAAAAAAAAAAAAAAGCAACACAATAAGATCACACATTGCACGCCACATACACTATCCCATACGAGACAGACAAATTACAAAAAATGAACAAACGTAGAGACGACAGTTGCATAATAGCAGTTATTATTTTACAAATACGCGATCGTATGTCTACCCACTTCGACAGCATGCACGTGCACACTAGGGTATTTTTTTTCCCCAAAAAAAGAACAAAAGGGACAAAAGGGACAAAAAGAATAAAAAGAACAGAAGGAACAAAAGGGACAGGAACAACAAGAAAAACAAAAAGAATAAAAGAAACAAAAGAAACAAAAAGAACAAAAACAACAAAGAGAACAAAAAGAATAAAATTAACAAAATAAACAAGATAAACAGAAAGAACAAAAGAAACAAAAAGAGCAAAAAAACAAAAAGAACAAAAACAACAAAGAGAAAAAACAGAATAAAAGAAACAAAAAGAACAAAAGGAACGAAAAAAAATAAGACACTTAAAATGAGAAGAAGAGTAACAAGGGATAACACTTGTTGACCAATTTCTATGCTTCCCCTCCACCTGAGATAAAAACAAACTTGCATACCTGGATTGGACTACGCCTAAATGTACACAGATGTGTGTTCACATGGAGAAGAGAAGCGTAACACAACAAGACTGTATTACAGAGCCAAACGGCTGATTTATACTAAAGTGGGGATGAAAAAAAAAAAAAAAGATAACTCGCCAAAAATATTTTTATAAACTCATGTGCCATGACAAGTACAACAAGGTGGTAATGCAAATGGATGCATATGATGTGCCAAAAAAGAAAAAAGAAAAAAAAGGCATGGTTAAATGTACATGATTCTTTAAAGGATAAATGTTCCACCAGGTGAAGAACAGCTAGCGAATGAAGGAGGTGTTATTTTACTCCTTCCTTGTTTTGTGCATCTTAATTGCAAGAGGGGGAGGGGTATACGGAATACAGTGAGATAGCACTGAGATAGCAGTGATATCGCATGAGATAGCAGTGTTATCGCAACAGATGACAGGGAGAAACCAACGCCATCCGAATCACATCGCATCAGAAATGGACTCAGATGCACGCGGTCGCATGCGCAGTGCCCAGAATATTGGGCGAGAAATCCTGCCAGGAAGGCCCGCACCAAACATGCAAGGGCACGTGTTCTACCCATCTGTGGAGAGCGTTCCGGGGCGATAAAACGCGGCTCCTCATCTGGTGACGCGTTTGGTTGTTCGCGGTTGGCTCCTTGCCGTTGGCGCCGAACCTTAGCAGTTCCTCGGGCAAAAAAAAAAAAAGAACCACGTGAGGGCGCAGAGTGTGGAGATATAGATACCCCCGCCGATGCCGCAAGGGGAATGAAGAAGGAACGAATGAAGAGGTGAGAACGGCAATTGAGAGGGACGAAGAAGCGAGGACGCCAGTCAAAACGAACGAAGAAAGGAAGACCCAGTCGAAACGAACAAAGGAACGAAGGACCCCTGCCGAACGAACGCATACTATTTGTACGTGCTGCTTGCCAAGGTTGGTCCAAACGGGGGGGAAGGCCTTCACCACGCACAGCATAGCACTGGTACGAAGCGGCATACAGTTGCGTGGTTAGGCCTGGGGGAAATATGCTTTAAGGCTGATCTGCCCCATTGGGGTCGCCCTCACTCCGTTGCACCTCCCCTTATTGAAGTCAGCCCATCTCGAAGTGCTGTCATTCTACCTACGTGTGTAAACAATAAAGTCAGCTGGGGCAACATTTCACTGTCTGTTCCTACCCACGGGGGTGAAGAATGACACCTACCAGGAATCTGCTGACGCGGGGTGTTCTGCCTAGTATGCTCGTGCGAGGGGGCCGCACTGTGCGCAGATGCGAAGGTATATTCCACCGCTCCAGGGGACTCCACAGTGGAAGCAGGAATGTGAAGCGGGGCATGTCAAATGGTGGAGTCAACTCGAATGGGGCGATCAAATCGAATGGCCCAGTCAAATCGAATGGTGGAGTCAACTCGAATGGCGCGGTGAAGTCAATCAGTCCAACTAACCTGGAGGATGTAAAAGTCTCCAAGGAAACGTCCAGCAACGCGCTATTCGACGAATGTTTGGAAGAAATTTATAGGAGGAAAAAACAGGTGGATAAAGACAGCGTGGAGTATGATGTGTCTCCAGTGATAGAAGAGCTAAGCAGAGAGGAAATAAAATTAACTAGAGACATATTTAACCGAATTGACGAAAAAAAAAAAAACATATCCCAATTGAATTATAAAGATGTTTATATTGATCCCTATTGGAATCCCTTCAAAGAAGTCACCGATATGAGGAGAGAAATCGCTTTTGAATTTAGTGAATACGCCAAGGTTGCCACTCTGGTTGAGATGAAAAAACAAAGGCGCGCTATTAAGCGATCGCTTAAGGAGCAATACCGATTGTATAACCCCTACTCAGGAGAGTATAATGGCCACGTCGGATTAGATAGGGAGTCCACTGCTGCAGATCCAATCGTCTGTAATGACAAGAGTGAAAGGTATTGGAACCCTGGGGTTGACCGGAAAAAATTACTTAATTTGAAGTGCCCCTTTATATGGAGGCACACTCATCTGTTGCATCACTTCATTGGAGAAAATGGTCTCATCTTGCCACGTAAAATCAATTTCACCACGAGGAAGCAACAGATTCAGATTTTTAAAGCCATTTGTGTAGCACGTAGGATGGCCCTTTACCCGTATGATAGGAAGCCTGAGAAGGACGATCTCATCCCCTTGATGGATCCCCTGCAGCTTCTTGCCGATGAGTTGATTCATCGCTATGTCGAAAGGAACGATTTACGAGCTCAGGCCATCCTCAAGGTCATGATCAATAAGTACCCCTCATTAAACTATTACAAGTATTTCTGCCACGAGTCGGGGGAGAAGCAGCGGGGGGGAACGCACTCGGCAGGGGCACCCCCAGGAGAAGGACACCCGGGAGAGGCACAACATACGGGCGAGTCTCCGGGTGATCACCACATCGCGAAAATGCTGCGCAGGTATAAGGAGAACTACTATGAGGGAGCAATGCCTCAACAAGGGCACGCGAAACAGTGAACTCATATCGAAGCCTACCTTTAGGGCAAGCACACGTGTCCATGTGCGGTCCGCTTTTTAATGCAACACAGATTGGACACGCACAGCAGGTGGCAGTGCAGAGTGGGCAATAAAGAGGTAATCCCCTACCAGGGATTTTTCCTCCAATTTTTTTCTTTTAATCCGTCCCACAATTTGTGCCACCCTCTGTCCCGACGAATATGTTTCCAAAATGGAGTCTCCCTGCACCAGTACAGCGACGCATTGCAGTCCTCTGAGGAACTACTCACTTCAGCGGTCTCCCCGTCTGCACCGCTAACCGATAAACCGCTACACAGATAAACCGATGCACTCCTTCACCCCACCGAAGGTACAACCGGGAAGATAACGACACCCGGGAGGGGAGAAGTAAACACCAAGCTTCTTCGCCCACTCGGCTGAGTCACGTTGCACTTTTTTTTTTTTTCGCATCACGTACTCGCACGAGAATATGTCAAAGTGTGAGTAACGTCTTACATGTTAACATTTTGTGTTTAATTATTGTAACGTTTGAAATAAAAAAAAGAAAATAGAAAAAAAAAGGAATTTTTGATCGCGTGGTGGATGCACTCATACATGTAACCCATCCGTTTATAAGTAGAGAAGGAAGCATATAGAGGTATCCCCCTGTGTGTATGCTCATTTATATACAATGCATGCACACCTGCGCGCCTACATCGTGATTAGGGTAAAATTCACTTCATTAAAATAAAAAAAAAAGTTCATAATGGAAAATAGCGAAATTCGCAGGTGTTTTCTTCCCTTACCGCCATAAAAGAATGAAAAGAAAAAAAAAAGGGAGTAAAGTCACGGGGACCTACACCCAAGGAACAACTGTGCGTGCGGCCATATATGCACATGTGTAACTCGCGTCACTCCTTTGGCGAATTGGTCTCACATACAAGTAGTGCCCTCCTTGCGATGTGTAGCTGGTACATATGCATTTAAAAAAAAGAAAAGAGAAAAAAGGGAAAAAAGGAAAGAGAATAAAAAGGAAGAAAGAAGAAAAAAGAAAAAGGCTGTTTACCCTTAACATAGTACAATGTGTACATTAATACGCCCCCGTCTACGCCTGTCGACACGTACAGGGATGTAGCCCTTGGGGGGAAATCCCACTCGTTTGGCGCCCTTCCGCTTCTACATGGGGAGGCACTGGCGCAGCTATGCACCCAAGCATCTATATATATGTACATGTATCCATGTGTACGTGTGAATATATATAGAGACGCCATCACACTGACGCGCTTGCACTAATTCTTGCACAGCTGTGCCGGCCTCCACAGGACGTAACATGGAATCATGCTTTAAAAAATGGAGGGGAAAATTAAAAATGAAAAAAAACATGAAACGAATGTGGAAAAGAAGAAAGAGAAATGATTTCATAAAAAATGTGCAACGCGTGATGTGTAATAAATCAACATGTAAAGCATTACCGCACTGTGCTGTAGTGTGTTTTTTTTTTTTTCAAATTTAGTATTGTAGGAAACATTTCGGAAAAACAGCTTTGATGAGTAACATGTACAAATGGTTAATTCTAGGTGGGCCGTCTCTGCTAATGTTATTTACGGGAGATATGTGCAGCTGTGGAATAGAACGGATGGGGCTGGCGGGGGCGCAGCTTTGCCACATCAGAAAGGAGTCGTGCATTTCCGCCCATTTACTCATGATCATATATACAGCTACATACACACGCACACCTCGCCGGGTTCTATTCGCATCCACATGATGTTAATTAGGTACACCTACGGCGTATCAACCGGGGGGAAGAGGTCATTCGCGCAGGCATAACAAGCCCAGTGTGCATGAAAGGGATGGGCAGTTCACGACATGGAGATGTTTTTCCGTTTTGTCATTCTTCCATTTTGCCGTTATTTATTTATTTTTTTTTTCCCCTTCAAATGTTCCCTTCAGGGGGCCAAGCGAATCATCATCTCTTGTTTCGCCTCATTTCGTGCGCTGGTAGCTGCCTGACGTTAACGTTCCCTCGCCCGTCCTCCTCACGCTCAGTCACGGTCCTCTCGATGGTCCCATTGGGCAATGTTTTCACTGTCTCGATTCTTGTGACTCGCTTTCCATTAACGATGGAGGTCGTCTTCGACGTGGACGTTTTTACAAATCGGTTTTTAAATTTGCCTCCGTTGGACGTTGAGGTCTCGACGGACGTGAAGCAGGTGCCTCCATCCATGAGGTCTGGCGGGAAAAAAAAAAAAAATGAGCCATTCGTTATGCATATATGAGGTGGGGGGGAATACGGCGGAGTAACAATTCGTTTGTCCGTTTGTCCATTTGTCCAGCTGTCCCATTGTTCTTTTTTTTCTTCTTTTGCTTCTTTTCCCCTCCGTATCGAATGCCCTGCCGCCGCTCCGCCAAGCGCACTTACTGTCAAAGTTGGATCCGCCAAAGGAGATGTTAAAAGACGATCCGAAGAAGTTATCGAACGGGTCATTCGATCTTGCCATTCTTCCTCTTCGATTATCACCAAAGGAGGAACTCATGACTTCACTAAAAAAGGATTCATTCCCAAACGGAGTGGAATCTCCAAAGAACATTTCAAATATCCTCTGCGCATCATTGAATCCGAAATTTTTGTGGAAGTTGGAAAACTCGTCATTCTCGTCCGGCATGTAATTCTCATCGGTTCCGTACACTGCAGGAGGGGGATGGGGAAAGGAGCAAAGGAAAGGGAGGTATTGTCAAAAGTATAAAACAAATATGAACCAGAGACACGGCCAGACATGTGAAGCCCTGTTGTCAATTTTAAAAAACACACATGGCAACTTATGCATGAGTATTTTTTCCAACTCTCAATTTGCTTACGGTCGTATTTTCTCCTTCTCTTGGGGTCGGACAGCACTTCGTAGGCCTCCGAAATTTGCTTGAACCTCTCCGTAGCCTCGGCCTTGTTGTTTGGGTTCTTGTCTAGGAAAAAAAAAAAAGAACACATTTTTCGGTTTAGCAGACACTTTATGAGTCCCTTGGGGGATCGGAGGCTGTATTTCACTTGTGTCGCCTAAGCGCTGTCTGGGCAGTCTACGCAACTATACACGGGAAGAAGCATATACATGTGCACACATTGCACCCAGAAGTGGTAAAACACGGTGGGTGCAAAAATGGACAAACAGATGGGAGCAGCAAACGGGTAAGCGCTTCCTCCTCAGGAAATTCATACGGAGGTAACGCTCGACATGCACACGGGTCACGACACCGAAAAGGGGACTGTAAAAGAAGGCGTCCCTAAGAGAGGGTTGCCAATCGGCTGTCATTGGACTGCCACTCGGCTCCCACTGGACTGCCACCGGACTGCCAACCTCGAGTGGTCTTACCAGGGTGCCACTTCATGGCCAAGGTCCTATACGACTTCTTGATTTGGCTTAAGTCGGCATCTTGAGGAACCCCTAGCACTTCATAGTAATTCACCCGCTTTGACATCTTCGCCTGGAGGAGCTGCCTTCGCTTTCGCAAAATTCGAGGATGTATATAAAAAAAAAAAAATAAAATAAAAAAATAAAAAAAAAAACGAATGATCTCCCAGGCGTTCACTTGCAGGTTACGTAAAGTATAATTAGCGTCCGTATGGGGGGTGGAGTGGCTAAGCTCTGTTTGCATGTTTTTTTTCTAGCATATGGAAAAGATATGTTCCTTCTGCGCGTTCTTTTAGTTATTTTATTTTTTTTTTCATGGGAAGGATTAACAAAAAAAACCGTTAATTATTCCTACGGATGCTCGTATGACTTTTCGCTTAATCAGTTCGCTTGATTAGTACGCTTAATTGGTTCGCTAAATTCGCTTCGATTGTTCTCTTCATCTTCACGTGGCTTCGCATGAACTTTGCTTTCCCGTTTTCTTTTTTTTTTTTAAATAAATTAAATGTGCATGTATAAAGGATAAGCAAACAAAATGAAGAAAAAAGGTACAATGCACAACGTTCACTTGGGAGGATTTTTTTTTTTTTTATTTTTCAAAATGGTCAATGGGACTGACCATGTATTTTTACTAGTTGAGGAAGAGATGGCAATATGGCAATGCGATTTTACATGCGTTAAAAAAAAAAAGAGTCAGCGCAAGGAGTATCGAGGTTTTGCCACGTGCCACACGGGGGTTCATATATCCATACGGCACGTGGCATCCCCCGAGAGGACGTTTACGCTGCGTAAGCAATGCATATGTATGATGGTGCGAAGGACTCTGCTGCCTGGCCGATTTGATTTCCTCCTCTCCGCGTGTATTATATATGAGTACACTCCACATATCCGTATGTACGTGCCTGTATGTAGGCCTATGGATGTACTCATTTGTGCATAGTTCTTGCCATGCGCTGATTCCTACGCGTGAGCGCGGGACTCTCTTTGACGCGCGACATGACCGCGGCAGAACCATGTGGCAAGTGTGTTGAATTTCTCTGCATGCGGGGGGGGCAATATGAAAAAGTGTACGCCAATGCGTAAGGGTGAAGTGGGTGATAATGCCTATGCCTTCGCCATATCTGCAAACCTTTTCCCCCCAAAAAAAACAAAGAAAAAAAAGTAAAAGAAGCAAAAAAGGACCAAATAGGAGCCAACAGGCGGCATGTATACGTATGCAGTGTATACCCTTCCCATGTTGTTCCCTTCCTACATATACTCTTCCTTCCTGACCTCATCAATTACACCCTGGTAAGCAAACTGTTGAGGATACTACGTGTAAGTGGGATGATAATTTCTCCTAAGCCGCGATCGCTCTCACTGCACGATGTTGCTCCAAAAATCTGTTTTTTCGCCTCCCACCATTGGAACAATGAAATAGAAAGAAAAAAAAAAAATCCGCCAAATGGTGTGTTTAGCGCGAAATGTTAATCCCAAAGTGGAGGGGGAGAATCAATCACGAGCTGCAAAAAAAGGCACAGTTACATGACACGAACTTTTTCCACTGTGCGACGTTGTTCCACTGGTCAAATTATACACATGCGATGAGCACTTTTGGATGAATATACATATGTAGGCATACTTGTGGGGACCTCTTCTCCCTGGAGGGAGGGGCCCATCCCCCTATCTACACCAACAGGCGCGTTATTAACCCCTTTAATATAGCCACAACGGAGAAAGCACCGTCTTAAACGGAATAGTGCTCTGCTTAAGTGTGGAGCGAAAAGAGGACATACTCCCCGTTAATCATGCGATGACCTTTCTAACAAATGGATACCCCTCACAAGCACGTAGTTATTTTGTAAAAGCACAACTTAGACAGAGAGGGAAAAAATTGCCACTATTATGAGAAACATTTTTTTTTTTTTTTTTTTTGCCTGACACAAATGGTTGCCCCTATGTATCGAACCCCTCCTTGGTAAGTGTAGGCGACGGGCTCTACCGAAGGGTCGGAACAAATGCATACATATTCGTAAAAACGTTCATATGAATAATCTTACGTGTGTAAAAATGTGGACAACATGATATGGAAAAATTGTATAGGAATATCATATTGGGTTATCCCCTCCCCCGTTCTGTGTGACGTCCTCCATTCACGAAATCTCCCATCCTGTTCATCGTTACTTTAAAGATGATTTAAAAAAAAAAAAAAAAGGGGGACACTCTTAAGTTGTAAAAAATCCAGGGAGATGCTTTATCCCTCTGGTAAGTTTCCCCAAGTGGCAAAAGTAGAAAGTATTTCTCACATGGAATACCTAAATGGAGCATTTCTCGGGGGTGTCAAAAAATGGCAGTCCATTCGAGGACCTTTCCATTTTTGGGGCGATGCCCAACGGGTGCAGAGCGAAAAAAAGTGTGTTTAAAAAAATGGCAAACGGGAGGGGCGTAGTCACGCTGAGTACCGACGCAGATTACCGACGCGCAGTGGCCCCATAAATGTTTACAGAAGAGTCATTTGTCCACCGGTTGGCGAACCGCTTAGCAATCATGAAGATACCTTCCCTTTATGAGGTTTCCTTAACCATCCTATACAATCCCTTTTGCGCCCCTGCGAATCGAACGGAACGACTACCCCCTATTGGAAAAACGAAGTAACATTCCAACATGCTGCGTTGTTTTCTTTTTTTTTTTTTATTTTTTATCCTGTCAGGAATATTTCCCAAAAGGTTATCACATATCTGCAGTGTACACAATGTGATGCGCATTTTCTCCAACTTTTACATTGTTCATCTAGGTGGATCATTCAATTCGCTTTTCTGTTCATGTGGGGTCTGAACCCAGCCCATGTGGCGGAGGGATGTCCCTCCCTTAGTGGTTACAAAGATCTGTATTCCAAGAAAAAAAAAACAGAAAAAAAAAAAGGATTTTAAAAAGATCGCCCCTTTTTGTATGTAGTGATGAAGGTGGGAGGAGAAGGAAAACAGATAAAAATCAAATCTGCATGTAATGGAAAACATATGTTTCTGTATGCACAAGTATGCGCTTGGGGCGAACTGGAAAATTGTCCACTCAACCCAGAGAAACCCATTCGTTGGGGAAAGAGTTGCACATGCGCCGTAGACATATACGCACGTAACTTTCCGATTATGTATGCACAGACGTACACTGAACACCACGTGCCATTTTTTTTTTTTTCTTTATCTCGTACCAGAGAAGGCGCGTACGGTACCCCCACCACAACTCTAACCCCTGTACGTACACACATACAACTGGACAAGGCAAAAATTTCGCTGTACCATCTCCAGTGCATATTTTTTATAAAGTGTTTATTTTTTTTTTCTTTTCGAAAAAATTTGAAACAACTTCAATGAAGGAGAAAAATGTTACAGACATTTCGGATGAAAAAAGAAATTGTCTTTTTAAGAAATCATCATGATAACTATGTGCAATTTTTATTTCTCTCTCGTGTATGATCGAAGAGTAATATTCACGCTGGTGAAGAAGGAGGGACAGCTTCCGATGTGCATATGTGTAACGTTCCCCACGAAGATGCGCCTCATCAGCAGGAAGGACTGACCCCAACCGAGGAAAGAAGCAAAAAGGAGGGGAAAAAAAAAATAAAATAATAGGCAAAACTAAGCACCACTTTGGACGAGGACGAAATGGATACCCTGGTGCACCTTTACTTTAACCAGTCGGAGCTCAATGGTAAGACAAGGGCGGAACCCCACCACCGAATTGGATGCAGACACCTGCGTATTAGGTGCAATACACCTCCGAATTGCCCCCGCCACACACACACACACCTACCCCTCGCAGACGAGGTCAAAACACTGATTCTAAGCTGGGTGACCTTCTTCAAGAACAACTGGAACAGCCTCTTCAACGTAGACAAAGAAATCGTCCTCAATTTGGAGTTCTTCCTGGACAATAAGAAACTGATAAATAGAAACGCCCCTCCGAACAATGAAGTGTATTTACACGAGCTGAAAAAAAACCCAGAAATCGTTTTGAAGTTCATGAAATTGGCTCTACACTTGCTGTTGTGTAAGATGCTGGACATAGAGGCGGTGAATACGGAGGAGGTTCCTGTGGAGGTGAGTGAGGGCATCAGGTTCGAGGCCGTGGGGAGGGATGATGCGTGCAGCGACAGTAGCGGGGTGGACGGCATCGACAATGCGAGTAACATGCGGAAGGACAAGCCCATAGTTGGCGCTCAGCTACGTGGCGGTCATCTCAGCGGTGGCGACTATTTTATGGGCGGGGCCTACCACCTGGGTATCCGCTCCGCGGTAATGCGGACCGCCGGCGCCTCCCTGGGCAGCCCTTTCATCACACGAGACGAAATCAGCGACTTCGAAAATGACGACTCGCTAATCAACCAACTCAAATGTGACCGCTACAAAGAATCGGAAATTTTCAAATCGTATTTTCTAACAAACAGAATCACCATCTATATATACAACTGGAACAAGCTAAACAAATTTGAGAATCTGAAAAGCGAAAAAGTGAATCAATTGGTATGCCTGCGAGGAAGTGTGTTGAGAGTATCCCCCATCCAGCTGCTAATCACCAAACTGGATTTTATCTGCGAAAAATGCAAAGGCATCATCCAGGTAGAATTCACCGAGGGGAAATATGACACCCCGAAGAAATGTCCGAACCCGAACTGTGACAGTCGCAACTTCCATCCAATTAGGGAGTCAGCTAAATCGATAGAATATCAAAAAATTGTCCTCAAGGAAAATAAAAAAATCTTAAGTAGCATGAATGAAATGGGAGAGTCCAATGTAAAGAACCTAACAGTCACATTGGAGGTCTCGAAATTTTTTATAAACTCTTGTGTTCCAGGAAACTATGTCGAAGTGGTAGGAATACTAAAAGTCATCTCATACAATAACAACCAATATCTCATTAATGGGAAGAATTCTATATATAATATGTACGTAGATTGTCTTTCTATTTTTCCGTTGTCGTCTAAGAAGTATCTCAATAATAGCTGCTTCAACTTCGACAAGGTCAAGGAGACAAAGAACAGACTTTACAATTCGCTGCTCTGGGAGTCCTACTTTGAAAAAATGGAGAAAAAGATGCTCCTCTACTGTTGTGAAGAGAAAGGTGCAAATGTGGATAAGCTGGACGGGGCAAAAGAGGAGGATCCGACGGCGGGAAATCAATCCACCTCTATTGGGTCCGATCCCACGGCTGGAAATCAATCGACCGGTACTGATCCCTATCCCATTGGTAGGAAGAAGCCTCCCTCGCTTGGAGTCGCCTCAGCTGGAACCCACCTGAGAAGCTTACCCCACAATGAGAACAACGCAGCACCCGTTTGCACTCAGGGTTATAGGCCCCTAGAGGGGGCCCATTATGACGCCACTAGCGAAATAGACATTAAAGCCAAAACAAACGTCTCCTTTGACGCAAGCACGGTCAATAACTCCATTGAAATGAATACGTACGAGGCGCTAATTTGTGCGGGCATCGGTGAGATGTTAAGCGATGTTGTAGATACCACTTCGGGGGACAGCCAAAACAGGGTGCCCCAATTTCGTGACTCACTGGAAAAGACTTCCACTTCGAACATGGTGAAAAGAGACGCCAGAGAACACCCACCACGGGCAGGTGACACAAAGGGAGACACCTCCTCAATGTTGGAGAACCTCCACCTGGGTGACGACCAGCTGTGCATGTATGGGGATTACATCGATGAGGAGAGCTTGGGGGTCGTGCGGAAGAGGAAAAGGGGGCAAGGCGACTACGCCGGAGAAGGGGAGACGGGAGAACTTAGCTGGCCATCTCACCCCAGCGGAACAAACCAGGTGTGGCAGCCTTGGCAGCCTCGGCAGCCAATTCAACCTGGGAAGCCAACTCAACCTGGACAGCTAATCCAACAGAGACAGCCAGCCCAACAGAGGCAGCCAATCCAACCGGGACAACCAAGACTACCTAGGCAACCACCCCACCCGGACCACCCGAACGATGATCACCATTTCAACCAGACCAATCAGTTCGATGCGAAGGTCCTAGAATTCATCGAAGACATGCACAATTACGGAAAGAATAAGTTCTACCTCCTTGTAGCCTCCCTCTGTCCACGCATCATAATGAACAATTATATCAAGGCAGGCATGCTGCTCAGTCTCCTCGGAGGAAAAACGATATATGATGAGTACAAACAAATAAAAAGGAGAGGAAACATACACATCCTACTGATAGGAGATCCAGGGTTAGGAAAAAGTAGAATTCTTCAATACGTAAGTAACATCATCGAAAAGAGTCTATTCATCTGCAGCACGTCGACCAGCATTAACGGATTAACTGCCTGTGCATTTAAGGACTCCACAAACAATGAGTATTCTCTGGAAGGAGGTGCACTAGTCCTATCAGACAAAGGCATATGCTGTATCGATGAGTTAGACAAAATTTCGCTAACCGACCAGCAGTCCTTCCTTGAGTGCATGGAAAGTCAGTGCATTAACATAAGCAAAGCTGGGATCGTATGCAATCTGAAGACAAGGTGCTCCATCATTGCGGCATCCAACCCGAAGGAAGGCAAATACAACTACAACAAAACTATTTTTGAAAATATTAAAATCCCCTTCCCCTTGTTATCTCGGTTCGATTTAGTCTTCCTACTGACCGATAAAATGTCGGAGGAGAAAGACTATCGGATTTCTAATTACCTCATTAATTCCAACTATGATGCGCAGGGGAGGGAGAAAAAAAAAAAAAGAAAAAGGGAAGGGGAAACAAACCCACGGGGGTCACAAAAGAAGGGGGCTCACAAAAAGGCTGCACAAAAAGGTGTTAACAATGAGGATCATCGGGGTGATCATAGCAACGATGGCAACCATGACAGCGATAACAGCGATGATAGCGATGACAGCGATTTCGACGATGAGGATATGTTTTCCCTGAAAAATGACCTACTGAACAAGTGTAAACAAATCAATGAGCGCAGTTACCTCCCCGTCGAGCTCCTTGGAGTCTTCATAAAATATTGCCGAAAGTGTATCTTTCCCACCCTATCCGATGAAGCTAAAAAATACTTAAGAAAATTTTACCTCCATTTACGAAATCTATCAGCTACACATAGTAATATAAGCTCGCCCATCACCATAAGGCAGCTGGAGTCTCTAATTCGTCTTTGCCAAGCCAGGGCAAGAGGAGATCTTTCCAACGTCGTAACGCTGTACCATGCAAAGGAGGTCGTGGAGATTTACCAGAAAACGATTTTCTACCCTTTGTACTTGAAAACGCTCAATTTTAGAGAAAAGACGGTCAGCCGGACGACCAGGGGGAAGTCGGCCGCTGCCATCTCGAACGTATTCAAGGAGGGCATCATTCAGCTGGTGAAACAGCGCGAAAATAAAATTTTCAACAAGGTGGGTTCGCAGCGAAGTGGAGAGACCTTACAGTTGGCCTCTGCTCGAGAGGTCTTGTCGTAGCTACCGGGTGCTCCTCCTTGCCAATCCTCTTTTTCACTCCCTCTAACGATGATACAGTACTGTGCAATTTTCTTTTTTTTTCTTTTTTTTTCTTCTTTTTCCCTTTTGCAGGATCTGCGTAACCTAGCCAAGTCGGTCATCCTCTCAGCGGAGTCGTGCATCTCGGACGAAGCGTTAATTCACTACTGTAGGTTTTTTTATGGCTCTGTTCGTGCTGCTTGTGTGATGTGTATCCTCCCGCGGCACAACCCCTCCGTGTGTTTCCCCTTACGGTCGTACTGCTGCCTCCCTTCGTTTAAGCGAAACTGGTGGAGGGCCTCCTCATAGTGTAGCATGTGTCCAATCGATGGTAGACTTCTCCAGGGGAGACACGTGAACATTGTTGTGCCAGTGAGAGGGGAAGTACCACTGTTGGGGCGGAAGTAGAACGTCGTTTCCCCCAATCTTTGAGCTCACCACACGGCGACTTCAATTCATGTCATCACCCACATTTGCGCTTTCCCCTCCCCCCTTTTGCAGTGAACAATGAGGGATTTATCTTGTACAAGGGTGGCTACTGGCAGGTGGATCCATTTTACCTGCGGTAGTTGCTGCACAAGGGGAGTGATCCGCAGGGATGTGCAGCTCCCAATGTGCGCCTGATTTGGTGTGGTCTGCGGCGAGGAATAAAAAGGTAAATGCAGCAAGTCAAGGCAGCTCATGGATCTCCCCATTTGGCCGATGTCTTTAATGCCACTTCGATCAGCGCGATCAGCGCGATTAGCACTTCCTCCGATTCTCTGTATGGTATAGCTGAATCTTAATCCCCATTTTAGCCCCTCCCGCCTTCACACCCCTCACAGATCATTTTTTTTTTTGGTACATATGTAGGGGCATCTTCATATGCCCCTGTGTGCTGACAGCCGATATAGCTGTTGCCTGCTCACGTAGAAGCGCCCCTTTGAGATCCCGTTTGACAACAACAAAGCCTATTCATTCGTTTCCCCTGCGTTTGTGATTTTCTCTTTTAAAAACTGTTCCATTTGTCGCTCCTTTTTTTTTCTTTTAAATTTGTTTTGCGCTTCTATCCCACGTAGTAACGGTATAAGCGCTCCAAAGGGAATCATAAAAATAGGGTAATCATTTTAAGATAGGTGAAGGGAAAAGGATTGGGCGATCCGCCGTGGGAAGAGCGGCGAATGTACGCAACCGGAAGGTCGCCGCTTCTGTTTGTGCTGGCGGACTCTTTTCCCATTTTGGCATACCCTGCTGCTGTATGGTTTTCTTTCATAAAAAAAAAAGAAAATTAGTTGAGAGGTTCGGCATTCGACACGAAATGGTCAGCCAATGGGGCACTCCACTTCGTTTAGGAGATTTTGCATGAACAGAGAAACAAGCAGTGAAGAAATGAAATAAGTGAATATGCGGCTTTTTGCTCACTCGTTGCATGAGGTGAACAAGTTTTGTCACGCGAAGGTTAATCGTGTGTATGCCAGGTTCCCCTACAGCTTGCCCAACAGCTTGCCTTCCTTCCCCCCCACGCACGTGTAACCACATATGCACGTTTTTACGTCATGCTTACATCGCTGCGAACGACTTATCAGTAGTGACCCCTCCGCTTGGTTAAAAGAAAACATAATGCCAACTCTTTTTCCGTTATTTTGTCACCCCCAACCTGCCGTTCGAATGGTCTTTCGTTACATGTAGCCCCCCTCTGGCTCTATTTCTTCCCCCCCTCCATGAAGTAACCGTTATGAGGCGCAAATGAGAAAACGCTTACGCAGCCCTGCCCAGGTATAGCCATCTGAGCTGTCTGCGTCTTCTCTGCACAGGTTCCTTTGGGCACAAAAAAGAAGTTACGTATATACCAGGAGGAGTGCACTCGGAGTACTCTCGGATTACGCGACCCCTCCCTGCCAGTGTGAACACAACCCAGCTAAAAAAATGACACGGCAGCATCCACATGGCTCCTCGGAGAACGTACTGGAATACGCCCTTCTAGCAGTTAACCACAGTAGAATTAACTGCGTGCAGAAAAATGTCCCCTTCGAGGAGTCCTACCTCATCAAGAAGAAGAAGCATGATCATCTGCTAGACCTGAAGTTTTGCCACCTCAGGCGGGGGTCCACTCCGACCGATTCGTCCACTAGCTCAGTCGGAGAGGTTAGCGGTGAAGTTGGCGGTGGTGGCGAAGATGGCGATGCTGCTGCTGCTAGCCCAGCTTGCCAGCTTGGCAACCTTGGCGGAATTCTACCCAGTTGTAACAGAGCGAGAGGGCGGGGCCACAGCAGCGCGTACTTCATCCTGAGACAGTGGTGCGAGAAGTTGGGGACGGGCGACGGCCCTCATCGGGAGGCAAATCAGAAAAGAGGAGACAACCTCAGCGATCACGAGGATGAATTCAACGGGGGAAGAAAGCCAAGCTCAAGGTACGAGCGAACCAACTTCCCAACAAGCTACGTCGTTATAGGGACACATCAACACGGAAACAGTAGTACTGCCGCCCCTTGCTCATACGAAGAAATGACGGTGGAAATCCCAAACTATGACGTCGAAGTGGATGGCTTTTATGTCCAGATCCATGTGGACCCAAATGAAAAAGACATATTTATCCTATCATGCAAAGAACTTATCCTCATAAGAAAAAAAAAAATAAAAAAAAATAGTCCCATTCGGGGGGAGTACTTATTACACAACAGGTATATGGCCCTCCCATCGAAGAGAAAAATCATTAAAGCCGAGTGGTTTCATAAATCGGACCACGTGGTTTCCCTGTTGACGTATGAGCATGTTGAGGCATCTAAAATTTGTTCTCTTAAATTTAAGTCAGTACTTCGCCTAATTAATGTAGAGGGGGAAGCCAGGGAGGAAGTAAAAATAGTTATTCCCGACGTGGATATTATCCATCGGAAGTTGAGGAAGGAGAACCTGGAAGACATAAAGAAGGATTTGTACAAAATGGGGAAGATCAATTCGTCTCTCCACTTGGTAGACGCGGTGTCTGGTAAAAGTGGCACTGAGCAGATGCAGACGAGGAGCCTTCCACAGTACCATGATAACAACGCAGAAAGGGTAGAATCCTTCCCCAGTCACGATAAAGTAAATTCTCCACAAGGCGAAGATGGCCAAGACAGACACACCAACATGAGCTCAGCAGACACGGATGGGGAGGGAAAAAAAACGTCTAGCAGCCATCCGATAAGTAGCGATTTAGCGATGGTCTCAGCAAGAAGTAGGACCGATCTCGCCTCTGATCACGTCCTAATGAAGGAAAAGAAACAGCTACGTAAGAACAAGTACAAAAATCTCGTAGTGGACTACTGCTTTGGTGCCCCCAGTGAAAATATCCCCTGGATAGAAACCTGCGTCTTTGTTCTTTTAAGAGATGGACTGATATTAATATACACCCCGATAATCACGAGCGAGTGGTACGTGAGCTACTTCCTAATGCACGAGTTGAATCGGATTCGGCAGAGGGGGATGGAAAAATGCGGAGGCACCAACGGGGAACCATTCGATGGCCAACCTGGTGATGAGGAGCGTTCCGATGTGCAACGCGGTGATGGTGAAAGCCTCCATGAGGAGTATGCGGAGGATTTCCTCGCCCACTATGATCACTTCCGAGGGGTCTCCGTGAGGCAGTACAGGGAAAATGACGTGTGGGTGAGTTTCGATCGTAGGGGGAAGCACGCCGGAGGCAGGACCAGCTGGAGAAGCGTCGGTGAAGGGAGCGTCGGTGAAGGGAGCGTCGCTGGCACTGTTCGTGGTGGTGGTCGCCCAAATGATCGCCGCGCCGGGGCCGCCTTTTCCTACGCTCCCTACGTGGTCAACTGTCTGAGGAGCTCCACCTACCGCAGCATTGGCCTGCTTTATTGCAACCATCTGGTGTTCATCGCCGTCTCGGATAAGTTCGGGTACGTGTCCTTCGTCCTGCTAAACTATTTTCTTACTCCCCACATCGTGATCCCCACACCTGGGCAGAGCGAAACCGACAGTGGAAACACATTGAAGAGAGCGATGAATTTCCTGTCGATGAAGAAAAAAAAACAATCCTTTTTCTTTAACATCTTCAATTTGAACGATAATGCCATTTTCGAAAATCTGACTTCGGCGGGTTTGGCCAATTTGATTAACCGAGATCGATACGATGAGTACTATCGGCGTGTCAAGAATGGCAGTTACGAGATAGCTTCCCTCATGGGGAAGATGTCCCAGAGAGGTGCAGCCAGGGAGTGTACCCGGGAGGAGGAGGGCAACCATCGAGGGGGGGGCGGTGTCAGCCATGTCAGCGGTGATGTTGTCCAGCGTGGTGTTGTCCGCGGTGATGTTGCCGAGCATGGCTGTCTTGGCACCTCTCTCCGGAGGGACCCCCCCAATGAGCAGCGCGAAAGCGGCGCAAACTTAGGGCAGATCAAAATTGACGTCATCAAATTGACCAAACCAAGGACGCAGAAGAATAAGAAGAAGTCCCTATTCAAAGAAAGGTTCACCAAAAACAGTGACAATAATGAGAAAGAGAAGTATAGCCACTCCCCTGGATTTGAATACACCTCTGATGGGAACATTACCGAGCAGTATGACTTCTTCTCCTGCTACGAAGATGAAAAAGAAATTTTGGAAAAGCAAATAAACGACGAAGTGGATCTACAGTGTCATCCTCTAAGTGTCCTCTATTTTGACTCATACTACACCGGAATGAGTAACGTCAAAATGATTGTCCTGAATAAGCACAACTTGCTTTGTTTCAATAATGAGAAAGTTGTGCATCTCCACTTAGTTTGGCTAAAATTTGTCAGCGCAATATTTTCCCTCATCCATTTGAAAAACATCCTTTCCGCTAAGTTGATTCACGAGATGTGCAAAAATGGCCTTTACATGAGCACCACCATTTTTAAGGCGCCCATTAGCTTCTATCAGTTTGACTACTACGCGTATCTTTTGTTGGACCATACGAAGCGGCTAAACCATGACACCTTCTCGGGAATCTTCGGCGGGGGAAGCTCCGTGGGAGGCAGCGTGGGAAATGGTACTCAAAGGGACGGTGTACATGTCATCGGACGGGGCGAAACACGTGACACCGCCATCCAGTGGGAGGGAGCTGCGGACAACTTTGACTGCCTGCAGTCCAGCGCCCTCTACGATGTGCAGTATGTTCTTCACCCCGTCGTCGTGCAGGAAAGCAGCAACGGAGGCAGCAGCGGCAGCATCACCCCCCAGGGGACTGATCCCCCCAGCGACGTGTATTTCATCTTCACGCACTACGTAAATCTCGACAGCCAGAGAAAGGAAAAACTATTCATGAGCAGGAACATTAACTTCTTCACCTCTTCAGTGTATAAAAAGCTGTTCCTCATATATGATTGCTTCAAATTCAGCATTGTCAGGAGGAAGGGGAACCCAAATCTCAGTTCACAGGGAACAAACAGAACCCATTTTCTACTAAGGGAGAAAAGAAAATGCAAACCGCTATGTCCGATCCCTCGACAGGCAAGACTCAGAAATTTTTATATAACTACGCAAGTGATGGATGACGACTCCATAGATCTGAACACGTATGAGAACATGCTTTCTCTTTATGTGAATTCACGCTGCAATGATTATATGAATTCATTGATAAAGAAGAGTTTCATTTTTTACCAAGGGAAGGGGGCCCCCTACAACGTCCTTATTAATCGTGACGCGCGTGCAACAGGGGTCACTATATCCAGAAGCGGTGTGCATACAACGGGATCGCGGAAAATGATCACTCATATGTCTAGCGGCATCGTTGGTGCGAACTATACCCCGCGATTGCCCTACTACAATGACAGCAACTACATGGGGGAACTCACTCCCAGAAGTGCTGCCCTGATTTGGGACAAACATGGTGTACAAAACGGCAAAGAAGAGTGTTCATACCTGACACAGGGTAAGTTCATCTCAAATGGAAGAAGCGCCACTACAGTTAAGCAACAGCTGCACAGCGTGGGCAACCAAAAGGGCTCGATCCTTAAAGGGGAAGACACTCCCAACGCTCACAGCACAGAAGAGATCGATTTTTTAAAACACATATTCGTCATCCTACACAGTAATGAAAATGACGAAGGCAACGACATTCACAGAAAAAATCCAATGTGTGAAGAAAGCAGTCCCGCCGCTTGCAAAAAATACAACTGCGGTGTTGGAAGTATCACCGAAGAAGTGAACCCAGAGAAACTCATAAACGACATTAAAGTGCACGTCCTTAAGGGAGACTCCAAAAAATACGACAATGTACCCTGCACCATGTTGCTGAAAAAATTAATCAAAGTAAAAAATGACTACATACATGTGAAGGATTATTTTTTAAAAAAAAAAAAAATCAACTTAGACTCTCTTCCCAGTGATGTAAAAGGGAAAATAAATTTCCTTGAACAAGTCGTATTGGTGTACTACTTCTTCCTGGACTTAAATTTTTACTATGAAAATAAATTTGAGAAAATTAAGAAAAGGATTATCCATTCGCTAGGAGTGGATGTTATACATTTTGTCAAGTCCCATGCGTCTGTTCAAAGTATGAGCAAAGCGTTGATTGAAAGAAACACCACTTTGGTGAAGGACATCGAGCTATGCTACCAGAAGCATCAACTAATTCGAGAAAAGTTTAATTTGCTCAAGAAAAAAATTCATCTGCACAGTTTGGTGAAACAGGAACGGTTCCCAGCGAAATGGGAAGCGTTGAACGCGGGGTAAAGATCTCCAATCAGGCACGATGTGGTGTGCTTTACTCTGCAATAAGAGGGGTACCACTGCGAGTGCCTCCCTGCGGTAGACCCTTTTTTTTTTTTTTTTAACCATGGAGAGATGCACCTGCACTGCTTCATATCCACCCGTACGTTTGCACCCCTGTGAAACTACCACAGTAGAGACTTCGTTCAAAATGGTTTGTTTTTTTTGTTCGGCATTCCTGTTTGGGGAAGCTCAGCCGAATGAACGTCCACCCAAGAAAAAGCGGGGGGGTTGGATGGAAAAAAATCGTCCTCAAAGTGAACATGAAAAAAAAGGGCACGCACATGGGTGTGCCAAAAAGTGCAGGCGTAATGTAACACAAGTGCAACTTCTGTGTGGCGGGAAAAAAATTGCCCCCCCAGGGTATTACACAGGGCTGCTTCTATTCGCTTACGTATGCTCTGGCGCCTACCTGTCGCCGCTAAGAGTGCACCTCGACGACTCTCTTATGCGCCCGCAACTCGGAGGCCAACATTTTGAGAATCAGCTCGCCGTCGCGCAACGTGCAGGATATACTCTGCCCATCGCAAAAGGCTTGCGGCATCTGGAACATCTTGCAAAAATAGTACTCGCCAACTCTTTCAATTATTTTCGTGTGGTATTCATGTTCCGTCTGTAGTTCCTCCAATGGTACTTTGTACTTGTGGCCGAATATTTTTAGCACCCCATCTTCTAACTCGACCTTTAAATTTCCTTTACACACCCCTGGTAAGTCCATCATTATAATTACAAAATTGCAAGTGGAGTAGACCTCTATCCTGGGATTATAATTTATTTTGTTTAATTCTTCCTTCGACGGAGTTACTTCAAAAACGTTGTTTGTGTTCCTATTTAAGGGCATCGCTTCGTAGTACATCCCTGTGGGCATCTCAAACGTTTTTATGTACTCACTATGCTGAGTGTTATGTGATGGCTTGCTGGACACCCTCTCCCAGCTGTATTTACACTCATTGTGGTGAGAAGAACTGTACGAACTCGAGACTGGGTTACTGTATGAATAGCTGCTATACAGGTTTTTTCCCAGGGGTGTGGTTAACACCATGGGGGAGGTGATGCTACTTGTTTGTATGGTCGGGACTCCTGACGATTCGATCACAACTTGGGGGTTTGTGCTGTTCAGCGTGACCATTTTTGCGACATAACAGAGAATAGAAGGATGATGAAGAGGCGATAACTGTTGTGCCGTTTGGGGCAGCTGTGTGAGTGGAACTTTTGTCCAAACAAAAAGACAACTTTTAAATGTACCCCTACGAAGCGGAAAGAATACGCAACTACAGAGTGGTGCACGGAGAAGGTTAAAAAAATGAGCACAGTTACAAAAAAAAAAAGGCAATGCAAAAAAAAAAAAAATGTACAGAATGTTAAAATGAAAAATAATTGACAAATGGTGAACACATAAAAAAATGTTTCTTAAAGCCGCTTCTCTGCAGCGTAAAAGACAACTTTGACTTGGCCTTTTTTTATAAGTTACAATAGACAGTTGTTGACATTTTGGCTAACTAGCCATTCGTCAATAAGGAAAAAAAAAAAAATATATACACTTGGTAAAAATGGCTAGCTGCTCCACGTGCACAGGAAGTCGCTACCCCTTATGCGGGAACTCGCCAGGTGGCGGCGGGGAATGCGCAAAGTTGTCTGATATGTGTAGCGCAAGATTATCTGAGGGAAAAATCTTCACAAGGAGGAACACTTAGTTGCTCATTTTGGTGACCCATTTTAGTGATCCATTTAGTGTCCCTCTTTGGTATATATATATTTTTTTTCTCTGATGGCGAACCTTTCGTGGGGTGTTTCTGCCCCTCCCCCAGGGAGGCGCAACATCACTTGCTTATTTTCTTTTTCTTCTGAATTTCCTGGTTCAATATGTTGCGCATTTCGTTCGCTTCGCAGTCCGTCGTGGAGCTACCATTTTTTTTGTAGTCCTGAAATTCATTTTCATCGGAGAGCACCGTTTGGATATTTTCCCCGTCATTGCTGCTGCCCCCTTTGTTTAAGTATTTTAACAGGTCTCTTTTTTTCTCCTTAACAACTTTTTTTTTCTTCTTCATCCTCTTCTTTTCAACGCTGTTACTTGGGTTTAAGTCACTCAAAGGTTTCACTTCTTCTAAATCGCTATTTTGTATCTTTTTTTTCCCCGTTTTTTTGGCAACACGATTTTTGGACTTAAGCTTCTCAGACGTATCTGCATCCCCCAAGTCGTTGCCCCCTTTTTTTTTAACCTTGTTCACACTTTTTTTGTTATTTTCCAGTTTGGCGTTTTTTTCCGGTGGGCCGTCTTTCCCGCGTTCACGCAAACGAGTTACACCGTGTAAACCGGTTAAACCGCTTCTATCCCGAGAGGCCACTTTTCTCACGCCAGCCCTCTTGAGGGACAAATTGGTGTCTATCCTGCTCACATATTTTTTGATTATTTTTTCTTCGGAATAGGGGCGATTGACAATTGCCTCCTTTTTTTGTTGCCTCCTAGGGGGCTCTTTGGCCTTGGGCGCAATTTCCTGAAGCGCGTTCTTTTTCCTCGAGTCCCTTTCGGCATCGTTCTGTGTCTCATTTGGGCTCTCATCGTTGGCGTCCACTCTTCGGGGAATTCTGCCTCCCTTTTTGCTGCCCTGTTCCGTCCCCTTTTCCCTTCCCTTTTTCTTTTCCTTTCCTGTTCCTTTTTCATTCTCCTTCTCCTTCCGCTTCTTCCTTTTCGCCCCGGATTCCTTCCTCCTCTCAAGGTGCTCCCCATCGTCCTCACTCTGCACGTCGGCCGTCGAGAGGTTTCCATTGTTGTAGCTAGCCATGATTTCATTCTTCACCTCGCTCGCGTCGATTTTGGCCTCCTCCAGCATTTTCTCCATCTTGTCTACAATCTTATTGAGCATCTCCCTCTCCCCCATCAGTTTTTTCATTTTCACCACCTTTTTCTTATTCTCCATGTTTAACTTAAATTCTAAGAACCTGTTTTGCGACTCCAGATTTTTGATGATGGCTATGGACTCTACCAACTCCGTGTAAATTTTTTTATTCAAATTTCGCATGTCATTTTCGATTACTTCTTTTTCTTGTAGTCTCTTCCTGGAGAGCATTAGTCGTCCATACATGAGAAGAAACTCCTTCTTCAGTTCCTTGGTCGCCTCGCTGTTTTGTTCATCCCGCGCATTTAACTCCTGTAGCAGCTCATTATACTTCGGGACAAGATAAAACAGCTTGTTCTCTTCCCGGAGCTCCTTAATTAGGGAATCCTTCTTCTCCATTTGTTTCCTCAAGTTTAGGTGAAATTCAGCCAATACATTGAAGTCTCTGGTTTTTTCTGCAAGCGATATGGACAGTTCTTCCAGCTTTTTCATCATCCCTGCAAACTTGAAGTTAGAATCTACATCACCCGTCTTCAGCAGATCATTTTTGTAACTTTCTGTTGCCTTAATAATTCGATTGAAATGTTTCTCCACTTCGACCTTATCGGTTAATATTTTTTTAATGAAAATGTTAATATTTTGAATGCGCTGGGAAAATTTCTCCTTGATCTTCTGGACAGCTTGTCTCATTTTCTGTTGTTCGTATAGTAGTGCCAATATTTTCTGTTCCCATGGTGTAAGCATGGTCAGAATGGAGTCTATTGTTTTGCTGTTCTTTTCATCTTTTATGTTCTTTATTGTGTTCCCCTCCTCATGCTCATCCACCTTATTTGCGATGGTACTTCCGAGTATGTCTTCCAGCGCTTTCTTCGACACATCATATGGTTTTTCTTCACTCTTCAGTATGTCTTCTACACTTTTTAACTCTTCCCCATTTGGGTCTTCCCTCTGTTGAATCCTCAGGACGAACGAAAAAAACATTTCGTTTATGAAAACGTGTGATATGGACTCATTGTATTCCGCATCATGTTCGTTGTCGTCGAATACGCCACTTAGCAGCTCCTCCTCCGCCTCCCCCATTTCTACGGAGCGGTCGTTTAGATGACGACGCTTTGCAGCCGAATCGTCTTTATCACCATTGGTACAAATAGCGGCTGACGCGGAACCTGTAGTTGGGACATTGCCCTTCTTTCCACTGATCATCTCCATCGACTTCTTCGTGTCGCATAACTTCAAATCTTCTCTCAAATTCTCCTGCAGCTGCAACACATTTTCTATGTTCCTTCCTGGAGGTACGGTGCCTGTTAGGATGGTAGACAGGCCTACCTTCTGCATCAGCTTCATAATAAATTTGATTTGCCTGTTCAACTCGACGTTTCTGCTGATGATTTTTTTTTTCTTTTTCAGGTCTTCTTCAATTTTTTCCTTCAAGTTGGAGATGATGGACGTCCTTTTTTCGTTGTCGTCTTGCTCCCTCGGTTGAGCGAAGCTCACGGAGGAGAGTCGTCTCACCAGGTCGGCTCCGCCCTCCCACTTCGTCTCCCCCTCGCGAAAGTCGTCGTCCTCCAGGATGGTCTGCCCATGTGGCTCATGACTTGTGTGCCGATTTGAATCGCGCCTGGTTTGTTGATTTTCCTGGCGATTGTCGTCCAGGTCGCTCCTGTCAGTGAGTTCACTCCCCTCGCTGCTGCCATCTTCTTCGCTGCCCCCCTTGAGCGCGCCAGCCGCTTTCCCAAAGGACCCTCTTTTGAACTTCTCATCATTGACCGTTTTTTTCTTCCTCAGGTGGTTCGTCCCAACTTTGTTGCCCCTACCCTTCGGCTTATCTTTGTCCCTATCCTTGTCTTTATCCTTGTCTTTGTCTTTATCCTTGTCCTTATCCTTGTCTTTATCCTTGTGCTTTTCCTTCCCCTTCTTCTTCTTGGCCTTTTTCCCCTTGCCAGCTTCCCCCTTCTCCTCTTCATCCACCAGGTTGGAATATTCCATGTTGCTTAACTTGCTGAGCTGTCCATACACCCTATTGGCGGAAGTGTTGCTCGTAGCGGCATCTCCTTTGTCCCTCCTCTTCCTCCTCCTCAACTCATTCTTCTCCAGCCGTTCCAGCTCTTCCAATTCATTATAATAATTGAGGCAAGTCAAATCGTCTTTCTGGGACTCATTGGACATAGCGTCTTCACTCATTTCGGAAGAGTTTAATTTATATGGAGGTTTATTCTTCAAGTAGTCCATAGCCTTTGAGATGTTAATATTTTCCTGATCATTCTGATCTTCATACTTTTCCATCCCATCCCACTTGGAGTCATATTCATGGGTATCAAAGGATCTCAGCCATGTGTATTCATTTTTTATATTGTTACTTATGGTCATAGAATACTTGAGCGACTTCTCCGTGTTGCCATCGATAGATCTCAACGTTCGGTAGTTATTTGGATGCACATGGAGCTCAGACTTTAGGATAAAATTTTGAAATTTCTTCACTTTTTCTTCCAGTTCGTGCTTTAAGGCTAATATTTTTTCATCATCTTCTGGATTTCTAGAACTTACATTGTTTTTCTCCCCCCCTAGGAGATGATTGTCTACATTTTTGGTGGTTGCCAGATGCTTCAGCTGATTCTGTAGCTTGGCTATCAGCTCCTTTTGCTGCATAATAACGGACTGCTCCGCTGAGAGGTAGTTCACTTGGATTTTTTTTTTGATTGTCTTACACTTTAATGCGAAACGGAGGGTAGAGAAGGAGGTGTCCAGATAAAAATGAGACGGATGGACAGCCACAATTACAGAAGCACGACAATTTCCTCCCAGACTTTTACTCAGAATTCTGGTCAATTTGGAATCTCTCCATGGTATGAAAACTAAATCTTCTTGAATTTTTTTCAGTTTTTTTTCATCTCCTGCTGCTATTGCTTGAGCTCTTTTGGACAACTTGGAAATGACTTCACTTAGGACGAAGAGACTTTTATTTATGGCCTTTCCCTCTTCTATCAGCGTCTTCGCATTCTCTATTCCTTCGGCTGCTCTTCCTGCCCTTTCATTTCCTGCCAAATCTACTATCTTTAGTTCCCCCCTTTTGTTAATCGATGTTCCATCACTTAGCACCTGATTCGATTCCAATATGACGGTAAAAATCGTGTGCGATCTGGAAGACGTTTCGTTAAAATTGGTCTGCGATATGTGTCTTCTCTGTTCAGCTTTGGCAACTAGAAGCATTACTTCATCTATGGACGTTACTGTTTCTTCTTGTACCCCTATCACAACGAAGCCCCTCTTGGGGTCTTCCTTCACATCCAGATTTTCAGTTGCCCCTCCTCGGTATCCTTCTTGTAGCAAATCGTTAACTCTCTCCATGTACACTTCCAGGTAAGTTACGCTCATCAGAAATTCTTTCGTGTTGTTATTCGATTCGTCATCCGTATTGATACTGTCACTATTATCTTCATTTAGAGAGGATGGGTTTTCGATACCGTTGAAGAATTCTGCCAGTGATCTTGGCAGCATGCCTGGGTCTGTTGGCACCCCCATTACACTGTGTGTCTTTCCTGACCCCGTCTGCCCATAAGCCAGGATACACCCGTTTATCCCTTTAAAGGTGTCCAGAACGATATCTCTCGCTAGGTGTTTGTACACCTCTTCATTGCCAACTTGGGGAAATAAAAAAAAAGAAAAAAAAAAGAAAAAGTAAAGTAAAGAAAGGACGAAACAGCCATGTGTTAGGAAGGAAAATGTAACGACACGATGGATTAGGCCGTCACCCCCATTAGAAACGCTGCAAAGACGTGACGTCACTGACGCGATGGGAGTAGGCGACAAAATTGGCGACGCTCACAGATTGGCCGAATAGACACACAGAAGATGCACACATTATAAGTGTACTTGCTCCTCATACAGTTTGCTCATTACCGTTTTCGTCGAAGCATCGGTCGAACGCGTAGTACCGCTGCAAGACGGCCTTTTGACCCTCGGACTTTTCCACATTTTTCTTGAACTCCACTTTGTTTCCCTTCTTCGGGACCCTCGCGTTGAGCATCTCGGTCAGAGAGAGCGGCTCGACTACTAGCTGCATGTCTGTTTCGTTCATTTTCCACGCTTTCAAGTGGCCGCTGTTGATCTGGAAGGCGGGCGAGAAAAAAATACAGCCATGTCGATACGGAGCTATCTCACTAAGCAGCTACGTCACTATGCAGCTACGTCACTACAGAGCTATATCACTACGGAACTATGTCCCTATGAACCCATGCTGCTACTCAGCACGCAACGACGAGAGCACTTACTTCCTTCTCGAACAGGGGCCTTATACGGGTGCACACCCGAATAGCCTCCTCTTTGGAGGAAGCCTCCACCTGCAGCCCGTCCAGGTTTATCATGTTTTTTTCTTCATATTTATTTACGTCCATTTTGTGGAAAAAGAGAAAGAAAGACTGAAAAAATAAAAAAACAGAACAACGGGGTGCTTCAAGTGGAGGGGACAAATTCTCCAAAGTTCGTGCAATTGAGGCCACCCCCTAGGTGCACGCTTCGCAATCAGTTGTTGATATTTTCACTCAATATGGAAAAAAAAAAGAAAAATCCATAAAATTTGGTGCTCTGGTTCCTTGGCATCTTTTCCCCGTGTGCAATCTTGGAGGAAAATGTGCTGAGCTGAGGCCTATTGGAAAAAGCCTACAAGCGTTATTTTCAACAAATGAATCAAGTGTCTTCCCTTCGTTGTATGTTGTATATGAAAGTTTACAAATTGGGGAAATGCGCAAGATGTGTTTAGCGCCGCAAAATCGTTTCTTCTTAATTTTGCCAAAACATGGACGTTAAAATTTTACGCCACGCGAAGGTAAACAAAAAAAAAAACTTTTTTTCGCGAAATAGATTTTAAAACAATTTTACATGATAGTGAAGGGACAAGCTTCGAACATCTAAGAGCTTTGCAGTTTCATGCATCGTCATTATATTTGCCCTTTTGTTCTTTTTTTACGCTTACTTTTTTGGTAAAAAAGAAAAAAGGGAAAAGTGGATTACGTGCGCGGGGGCGTAGCGTTCAAACCTCTTACGAAGAGCACGTGGAGATCCGCCTATACTGGTGCATATAAAAAGGACACATTCACATACGTGCGTATAGACATAGTGTACATGTGTGTATGTGTACACTTGGGGGCCTTCCTGAGAAGTGTAAAAAGGGGAAACGTGCGGAAAATTCTTTTCGTGGGAAATATTTTTACACGAACAGTCAGGTGAGAAAAAAAAAAAGAATAGTTAAAAAAGACAGTTAAAAAGGACTGTTAAAAGAAAAAAAACGCGGATGCAAAAGCGGAAGCAACGGAAGAGGCAGAACAAGAAAATGCTGTGGATTTTTTCTTAAACTACCAAAAATACCCATCGCGCGGATAGCGCTGTATGAAAAGAACAAATCTGTTGCGATGTTTCACGAGCTGTTTAGAAGAAGAATGCAAAATTACACATCCAATTAAGCCATTTTAAAGGAAAAAAAGAAAAATAGACAACCATGCCTTCGTTCCCACAGGCATGATATTCATGTAAATTTTTCCCCTTGGGAACAACATCAGAATGTTTGCTACTGTTTGGCAGCAATTTCCTCAGCATGGAATTTTTTTTTTTTTTAACATTTTGGCTAGAAAAAAAAAAAAATGTTTAATTTTGCCTGAACAGTCAAGTAAAAAGTGTCAAGCGAAATAAGCCAAGCGAAATATGACAAGCAAAAAATGTCAAGCAGAATATGTCAAGTAGAATATGTCAAGAAGAACATGCCAAGCAATGCGCATTTTTGCACCTTCACCTATCATCGGGTGTGAAATCTTTTCCAAATTAAGCAAAAAAAAAAAAAAAAAAACCAAAAAAGAAAGGATGGCGCAGAGAAGAAAAATTAAAGCCGAAACACGTAAAAAGTTAATTGCAACGAAAGACTACACTTGACACGTAACTGCTAAAACGATAAAAAATAGAAACAAAAAATAAGAAAAAAAAATTGTCCGACGGTTACGCCAGAATTGCATCAATTTGTTTATCATACGTCCTTCTTCTGTTCCGTAAAATAGAGGTACATAAAAACCCAGCAGATGGTCATCTCAGAACTAAGGAACAAAACAGAGGAGTAGAACAACTGCGAGTGTTGGAAAGAGGGGGCGAGGGGAGGTGGTGGTGTAAAAATGAACGTGTTGATTTGTGGGGGGCCCATACTAGAAGCACATTTATCACTCGTTCCTCCGTTGCTAACATTTGTGCAGCTCCCAACTATCTGAAGCACTTCATATTGTACCTGCAGAAAGGTGTTATACCCTTTAAATTCAAGGTAATACGCCCACAAGAGCCAGTTCGCCTGCGCGCCGATAAAAAGAGGCGGCAGTTTGTGTTGGTCACCTGTATGCAGTCGAAACACGTACACTTTCGCACGCGGTCGCTCTATCAGTTGTTCATTTGTCCGCTTGAGGAAACGGAAAATTAACAGACCGCTCGGTCATGTTGGCGTGTGAACTGGTGACACAAGATCACATGCCAAGAAAACTCTCAACCGAATGTGCGCTTTTGCAAACCTTGGCTAAAATGAAAAAGAGCGCTGCTCCCGCAATAAGGGCCAAGTTTTTCTGTTAAACATTGCAAATGGATATATGTACAGGCGTTTGGGGGGGGAGGATGAGGAGGATTCACATCCAGACATTTGCGAGTTGCCGCGTAATTCCCTCGCCGCATGTAGGTGCACGCGCCGATCATCTCTGCTGCTTTTACCCTGTTTAACGTTATGGAGTGCAGGACAACCGGAATGAAGGGGAGGCACCAAATGAAGTACTGAAAAGAAAAAGGCGGGGAAGAGGGGAAAAAATGTGTTGGCGAAAGGTGCACCTATTGAAAGAGGTGAATATAGGAAAAAGTATCATCCGTACGAAACGATCCATGTTGATTTGGTGCGTCTCTCCTTATTTATGGAACTGCTACTTGACTGAGCGTTGCTTGCACAGATGAGCGCATTTGCCAATCCGACTCATGGCTACATTTGCCAACCCGACCCCTGGCTACATTTCTCTCTGTTCTTACCTGCGAGGTGCACACTTTGTTCATGGCAATGAAGGCGAGGGTCTTCGAGGGAAAAAAAAGAGAAAAAATAAATAACACAACATAACATAACGGAACGGGGCATAACAGGATAAACAAGTGCCCATGTGCGCATCTCCATACGCGCCATACGAGGACCCCCCCCCTCTGGTAACATATTTACCTGCAGGAACATGGACAATTCCAAATTGGCCCGCGCGTACTTAAAGCCGAACAGCGCCACTAACACAGCTTGGGGAACAAATGTTATGAGGGGGATGATCTGCACGGAGGGCGAGTTAGGGCACGTTTCGGCATGTTCCGGAACATTATAGCATGTCGGTGTAGGGAAAAGGAGTTTCCCCCCTTCGAATGTACGTGTGCACGTGTGAGTGTGCATTTCCATGGTCGCCGGAGGGAAGGTAGCCTCTTAAGAAGAAACAACCACAAAGGGCAGAACAACGCCGTCTTCAATCGTTGTAACTGTAGCTGTGCTGTCTGGCTATCATCCTCCATCTGTTAAGGCTGGCGGAGCATGGCAAATGCGAAAGAGCCCCTTAACACTGCGTTACCTTGGAGTTGCTTTCAATGCTCAGGTACATAAGATAAAAGAAGAGGGAAAAGTTGTGTCTGTGATCCCGACGCACGAGGTGGTATATGAAAGACTCGTGAAGAAACGCGTATCCGTACCTGCCATGGAGGAAAAAAAAAAAAAAAAAAGTACACCAATATGGGAGCAGCTTATCTGTACGTGGGTCCACCGGTATGAAGAGTCGTACGACAATTTTCGCATGGGAGATACCACATGGGAGGTACCAAGGGGGGTAATTCCTCACATTCGATAGAACACCCCGTTTAGCAGCATAAAGGTGGCAAAACTCCACAGGGAAAACACCAGCTGGTCCCGGTTTAACTTAAGCAGTCCAACGAAAAGTCGCGCGAGTGAGCGAAGAGTGCGGTTAATCAGATTCACACAAAGGTCCTGTTGTTTATCCCCTTGGAAAAATGTATCCTTGGCCAAATAGTCTTTGTTCAAATAAAGCATCAGAGGGAGGGCATAGATAATTGGGTATATCTTAAAATTAACAGCTAGCCCATAACAAATAGCTGCGAGGTAAATTTTCTTCTGATAAATACAAAGGAGAGTTAACAAAACGAAGAAGGAGGGGATACAGTCGGCATTACCCCTAATGGATATGACGATCACCATCGGATTTAGGATCCACAAGGAAACATAAAAAATGTAATTCTTGCATGTGGGGTATTTAATTCTTAAGATTCTAATCAGGACAATGGCTATGAGAAAATCGAATGATGAGAATACGATTTTGCCAAAGGAAAAATGAAAAACGAAATTCGGCACCATCAAGTAAGACAATAGAGGGGTATATCTATAGGTGTATCTTTTATAAGGAGATTCATTCCTCAGTACATATTTGGCAGCATCTGAGAAGACATAGTAATCGACATCTGTAAACTTCACATCGAAATTGTTGTCATGCCACAGGCTGTAGTAGTAAACAATTACACGGACTATGATCCCTAGGACGAGAACTAATCTTGTCAGGCTTCTCACATGGCTGGGGTCCATGTTGACACTTCTATTCCTATGTTCCGTTTCAGACTCTTTTCGTGGTATAATGGCTGCCATTGGGGGGCCACGTTGCGTATACCGCGCGGCCCATGCCGTCTGGGGGGTGAGCGACGGAACATCTATGATGATGCTAATTGTGGCACAACCTACCGTAAGGCTACAAAATACCCTCACGAGCTCTTTTTACAGGCGGGGAACAATTAAATCTAAATAATTTCCGGGGCAGCTCTCCCCCATTTCTTCCCTTCAACGCCGCTCCCTCATGAGAACACTTCCCCGATTGGTGCACGAAAGATGGACTCTTACGCGGGGTTAAGAAACGGGAGTGAACTGATGAGAAGAAAGCGAATGACCCATTGCGGTTATTATTCAGCCGAATGGAAAACGTCCACCAAGTGTAGCGGTTTAACTATTGTGCGGGAAAAAAAAAACTTCGTTGTGTAACGTTTCGTTCGATTCACAGAAATTTTGCTCAACTGACATGTAGTGGAATTTTTTTCTTCTTTTTTTTTTCCACCCTCGCAACGATTTTTGCTTTGTTCATATTTTCCCATCAGCAATTCGTGTATATGCCCTTCTGGGAGTGGACTTCACGGGCACATACTTTCTCGATCGTCACGATTGTGTTATCGGCACATGTTACATTTTCGAAACAAGTGACGTGAAGAATGTATGCATGGGACTACGGGCATTGGGTGGGGAAAAAAACACCCGTATCTTTTTTGCCTCCCATAAAATAGCCAATACAATTGCGCGCAGGAAATTTCCTTCTGCCATAGATGGCAAATTTTATTTTTTTCTTTGCCTCCTTTTGCTGACTGCTCAGTAATGATTGTAGCGAGTATTTTCGCTTTGAAAGAGGCGGCGGTAGATGGGGCTTCATCATTATTGGGGTTAATTTTTTCTCCCCATTGTGCATTCATATCGGTGTTGCTTTCTTTAAAGATCATTTGCTGATTTAAAGAAAGCATGCTTCCCCTCCCACTCGCACATAAAGTGGGGTTGTCACTATGGGCCTCTCTTGACACGAGGCCTCATCCCGCAGTGAGAAAAATGGCTACACT